GAGCAACTCATTTAACCCGGAGTGGAGTCAAGTCGCGACGCGACGCGACGCTACGAGTTGAGTGCCAGAGCCAGCTGGAGGAACAAAGAGCGAGGCTGGAGAGAAAATCGGCTGAAAGGTTTTCCATCAGCAAACGACGCTGCTGACTCAGGGATCTGCGTCTTTCGATCCAAGGCAGCAGCGGCGTTTCAGCAATAAATTCATAACCAGCCCAGGGCCAGAGGAAGTTGATAGAAGCAGGCACACTTGCGGTCAGATTTATAGAGCTATAAGTGGGAATAGTCAAGCCACAATCTCTTTATATCATACTGTAAAGAATTAATTGGACAATGATTTGAAGATCACCTAAATCAATCAATATTTAAATGAAAATACCATACCATTTCTTTGCGATATTTTTTTGCCTTCATGTGTGCGCCGCCAAACAGAGGGCGTAGAGCAAAGCCATAATGGTAATCGCCCATGTACAACAACTGCCAGAAGGCAGACTTGCGACGCAAACAGATCGTTCTGCAAATGGCAAAACTCTGATGCAGATAGGCTCTATGCAAAACGGGTAATCGAACAGGCCGGCCATATAAGGCGGCTAATGGTCCACCAAGCCAAGCCAGCGGCGAGCGACGCGTTATTACTTAACAACAATTACCGAAAGTGAGCTCGAGAGCTGTGCCCAATTATAGTGGAAATGTTATTTCTTTGCCGAAATTGTCACTCTGTGACTCGGCTTTCTCGTAGCAAATGGAAGATACAAAGAGATATACCAGATACCAAAAGACGACGGCTGTCTGCTCAGTGGAGCGTTTTGCGTTTTGCATTGGCCCCGGCAGACAGCCTTGAGGTCCACTTATACGGTAGCCAATAATCCATCTAGTGGGTTTTATGTACTGGAACTACATCCAAATAAGGACACTGCCTGGCGTAAATATGGACTTACCTGCAAAGAGAGAGAAGAGCAAACAAGAAGTCGGTTAGTCAGGGCCAAAGTACTGCTTCTCCATTAATCATCTATCAATCGGGCATGAGTCACACAGGAGGCAAGCGGAATGCGAAGAACAGGAAACGTGACTCGCTAGGGCTTCCCTAATTTACACGAAAAAAACATTTATCTGGCAGGAAGACCCGCCCTGACCAATATCTAGAGACAAATGCATTTTCGGGGCAGGAGCAGGGAAAAAGGGAAACTGAAAGGCATGGGCCATATGACAGATATGTCCTACTACTACTATGGCCTCGGTCGGGGTTGCTTATCGTGTGGGTTGCATGCGTCAGTGACAGACTAACTCTACTCGTAAACTCCTCCTTTGACAGCTCTACACTTGGCAAAAAGTGGAGAAATAAGTCGGAAATGTTTAATAAAGGAGTGACTTTAAATAAGAAGTAATGGAAATAGGCTTCCTACCTAACATAATCTTTTAGAATCATAGTCAGCAAACCAATACAATAGCTTTAGACTAATGAACCCTTCTTTCCCATTCTTTGGCATTAAATAAAAGCGCTCAGTGTAAATCTATCACTATTTCTATGTCGGATTAATGTGGGCCCGTCGTCTGTCTGCATTTTGGGTGCGGCTGGCTGCATTCTCCGGCTATGCGGCTTTCTCTGGCGGTTCTGCAGGGAATTAGACCCATTGACTCATTCTAGGGCTGAGGCCCAAACCCAAACCCAAACCCGAGCACCCGAAGCCAGCATAAAACTAGTCGCCGCGGCTAGGCAATCAAAATCGACATTTAGTTTTATGGCGAGTCAAACAACAACATCCAGAAGGCGAACATGCAATGTGTCCCGGGTTCAATGCACTTGCCACTCAGCCTCAAACTCCGCTGCAGTTGCTCTTGGCCAGATACATATCCCAATACAAACACATGCATATATGTATATATGTACTCACTCTCTGCATTAGCCTGATCGCGTGACTATACTTAAATATAGTTAAGCACTTTCGGGAGCAGCTATAGCGGCAGCGGCACGTGACGATATTATGGCCGAAACTATCCCCCAATACCGGGAATTGGAGCTCCAACACGACTGCCCTTAATCACTGGCCACCACTGTGGTGGCGAGGCGGAGAGTACGCCATCGATTTCAATCGCAATTACTCATCTATCGCCGCAATTACCCGTATTATGATGATAAGTGCGAACCGAAACAGCTGCAGGCAGAAATCCGCATGACTCAAGGAGCCAATTTGGAGCACATTCGAGCTAGTTTGCTTCGGGGAATCCGGCAAATTAGCAAAGGTCAAGCACGGGGAAGCAGGTGCCTGCAGCTTGAGCTATTTAAATCATTCATCAATGTTCAACAAGCACACTTTTGTTTACAGCAAACAATCGTTTAAAACTTTGTTTTATGCGCTGACATTAAAGAGGTCGTAAAACTATTCCTTCTAGTGAGTTCTAGGTGCAATTTATGCCTCAGTTTTATTTGTTTTTCACAAAACATTTAAAAGTCGTTAAAATGGGAATACTAATGTGGAATTTAATGGCTTGGAACTGCATTTAACATAACTATTAAACATTGTTAATTGTTTTGAAAGGCCTTTTTTAGTACAACTATTCCTATACTTGGATTTTGGTAATAAGCAAGACTTTATCTTCAATATTTACCTAGGGTTTGTGCCTCGTAGGTGGATTTACCTAACGTATATCAAATGTGATTTTAGAAATTATATTAATTATTTATTTGTAAAGCCCAACTAATTGCTGTTTATACCCGGTGTTTTTAAATGTTCTTGGTATTTCGACGAATAGAAATGAAAGACCCACTGATAAGAGCATATTTTACCATTAAAAACATGTAATTATTGGGTGTACCCCCAACTACTTGGTTAGGTGGCACTATCATGGAGTTGGCTGACCAACAATTTGGAAACGGGCACAGAGCACACAAAAAGACAAAAAACAAGCGCCACCTCGATTGCAGTCATAAAACTGTTAGGATAGCGGGGAGGGTTTTGAGATGTCCATCGAGCGATACGGGCATTAGGGTAGAAAGACAGGCGGAGGAGGAGCGAGGGCTAGGGGCAGCTGGGAAACTGGCACACTTGCTGACATTGCAGTGTGCACTTAACTAGAACCACCACTGTATGCAAGTACACACACACACACAAACACACGCATGCAGGCAAACATGGCACAGTGAACTCTCGGATGAGTAAATAATGAGTTCTAAAAATAATATGAATAATTTCGTTATGTCAACAGGAAAGCGCACTTATCGCTGAAAATAATCTATTATTTACTTTTGATTGGAAATAAAATTGCTTGGAACCGTAGATTTCTCGAAATCAAGCTGGGCTTTATCCCTCTGTAAACGATACTGGAAGTCGAATTACAACAAAGTATTATGGTTTTCTGGAAAGTAATGTTTACTTATTCCAATTCCCGCAAATTAGTTAAGAAGGCTAATTAGTATTTTCCACTGTACCGAGGGTTTCCTGTTGCCACTACTCAAAATGGTCAATTTTTCTCTGCTGCAGCTGAGCCATCCTACACTAATAACAATCACATGTACATATATTGACAGCGGGGGGGTTTAAATAATATCAAATATCGGTTGTTAAGGGCGTTTTCCAGTAACAATGGCTAATGGAAAAGGAGCACTGGAACAGATCTGGATCCTTGTTAAAAATTAACCCATTAAAAGATCAATAAATAAGGCAAAAATTTGGAACGGAAATGCCGGTTCGCCCCGCTTCTAAAAGAGGATAGATGGAGGAAGCACACACAAAAAGAAACGGAGCAAAAGAGCCAGGGCATTGTTTTTGCAAATCTGCAAATTCGAACTGCACTACACACGCACACAGCGTATTAAAAAACGCCGGCAATCCTTTATTGTTAACTTACTTGCTGCTGGACTTGTCGGTGATATCGCAGTTGGAGATCATCTTTTTATTAAGTTTGAATTATTATTATTTCACAAAAAAACACGAGCGCAGACGACTTGAAACGCGAAAATCCAACAATAAAATGCGCGGTATTTTGTGTGGCCACATATGAATTGCTATATGTTTTTTGTATTTTTCTATATACTTCCTTTGGTCACTCTAAACTGGGAAACTGTAACTTAACATTTTACATCCTACACGTCTAAAATGCCGTTCTACACGTTTACATATAGATGGGGTCGAATTCTCACTTTTGGGGTCGAATTCCCAAGAACCAGATATTAAGCCAGATTAGGGAAAAATTCCAAATGTTTTAATTAAAAATTCCAGTTAAAATACAGCTAAACTCTATTATTTGGAACTGTAGTTCCTTAAATTTAGCAATAAAAAGCCTAGCTTTTTGGGAATTATGAAGCGACATTCTTAAGTCATTTAGTCGATATTTTAGAATTATTTTATGGTTGTCGTAAAAATTTTAGGATAATTAAAAAAATCATAACAGCGTCATTTTCAACATCATTAACTCTAAGATATTGTGTTTTTAATACATTTTAAATTATTATATTAATGTTTGTGTAAACTAAAGAAAAAGAATTTTGAATTTTTGTAAAGATTTAATGTAGTATATAATACTACACCTTCGACTCAAAATTATAGCTATATATTTTACTAGAAAAATAGAACTAAATAAATTATTATGTAAATTGAACAAATCCATGTCGTTAACGATGTTCAATTATATATATGTTCCTGTGCATAGAAAAGAAAACTATCGCAAAATGTATACACATATACATCGTTTGTGATCAAATTTGAATATTAACTATATTAAATAATTAATATAAAATAAGTATAAATCTCGGTTGAAAAATTATGGAATAAGGGAAGTCATGTATAGATTCTAAAATAACTTTTTGTTTGCGTGTTGATTGTCTGACTGAATTAGTTTAATTATAATTGACATAAATATATGGGTTTTCTGGTAAATTTAAAGAATATTTATATATTTTATGTTACTACTAAACTTAAAAATGTAAGAACATCGCCAAAACTTATTGCAATGATAATATCGGTGTATCGACGTTTGTCCATCGCTATCTTGTTTTGTTTACAAAAATTTGGTCAAAATCCTTGCTTCCTTCTACCATTTCCAACTGCTGGCCAGGATGAATACCGCCACTGTGCCGGTGATGCTGGTAAAGTGCCGGATTTGCATGGGCGAGTTCGAGGAGCACACCATGACTTCTCTGTTCGAAGAGCAATCGGAGGGCGAGAATCGGCTGGCCGACAGGGTGCAGATGTGCTCTGGCATAAGAGTGAGTAGGTGTCCATAGAACGAATCTCAACTGACTAGTCCAATTTTTCAAAGATTCGCGAGTCTGCCCAGATGCCCGGCACCGCTTGCACCAGCTGCTGCGAATTCGTAGACATGTGGTTCAACTTTCGGCAGTTATGCCTGAATGCTCAGGTTTATTGGGTTTCGAGTTGTCCGGACGCAGAGAGACCGGCGTATCTGGCTGAAGCCAGCGATTCAGAGTATATGGAGTATATGTACGAGAAGCTGCAACTTAACTACGCTGAATCCACCTATCACGAGGAGGAGGAGATCCTCCAAGAGATGGAGCAGAATCAGCTGGAAGATGCTTCTTCGAGGTCGCAGGAAGGCTTCCACATCGCCGACTTAGTGATGGCTGATCAGGTCGAAGAGGAAGCTGAGCATACCAAAGACAGCGCTGACCAGGTTTTAATTTGTCAAATGGACGCCTACGACAATGGTGCACAGATGGAAGCATATGTCCAAGACAATAGCCAGTCCGTTGACGATAACTCTCTGCTGAACGAAGACTACTACGAAGTTGACTTCGATGAGGAAGATCTTAACGATGACGACTTCCTCTCACTATCGCACGATCAGACCGCCAGCCCATTGGCAAAGCGCAAGCCAGGGAGGCCACGCAAGCCCGATAGCGAACTCAAGGTAAAGCGAAAGGAGAAGGGCGCCAGAGGAAAGCTGATCAAAGCGGAGAACCAAGAGGGCGAGCAGCCCACTACATTTACGTGCAGCCTCTGCGGTCAAGTCTGTGAAAAGAAGTCCCTTTTCACGGCCCACATGATGGCTCACACAGACTACAAGCCAAACCAGTGCGAGTAAGTGGGAAAATAGAATCTAACGACTTGGTTTTATTAGTCTTGTTTATACATTTCAGAATCTGCCACAAAGGTTTCCGCCAAAAGGGAGAGCTCCGCTCGCATATGCGTCGCCATACGGGCGAGCGTCCGTACAAGTGCGCCCACTGCGACCGTCACTTTTACGATCGCAGCGAAAGGATTCGACACGAGCGAGTCCACACCAACACACGTCCCTACGCCTGCCAGGAATGCGGAAAGACCTTCACGCATACTGCTATTCTCAAGAACCACAGGCTGGTCCACTCTGGCGAAAGAATTACAGGTAGGGAAGTAGCCTCTCCAAAAGAAACATCTTTCTTAATAAAGTTTCTCTTCAGCTGTGACACATGCTGCAAGTCCTTCACCCTATTGCACCAGCTGAAGGCCCACCTTACGACTCAAACCCATCGCAGTCGAGTTGAGTTGATGAATTCCATGGCCCATACCGAAGACTGTGAGGACAGTTAAGGTCCTACGTTTTATGCTTAGTTTAAGTTAGTTACAAGTATTCTTAAGAGATTATATGAAACAGATGAATTGTTTACCATATTTTATGGTATTCTTTGTACTTATTAAGCTAGCTGTCTAATCCGCCGCAGCCCATGCGATGCGCATCCGTCTTCTCGTGCGCCGTCAGTTGATGCTTCAGGCGGAATGACTTCGAACAGGGCTGACATTTGTAGGGCTTTTCGGAGGAATGTGTCATATAGTGCGCCTTAAGAGAGGTGGACAAGGCAAAGGCTTTTCCGCAAATGTTGCAGGCGTAAGGGCGCTCATTAGTGTGTATCCTAAGATTAAGAAAAGAGATGTATAAGGTTGAAGTTAAGAAACTAAAAGCAGCCTACCGTTCGTGCTTGCGATGACTACTATGATCGGCAAACCGGCGCTCACAGTAGGCGCATATGAAGGGTTTCTCGCCCGTGTGGGTTCGCATGTGAGAAGTCAGGTTGCAGGCAGCGTTGAAGCGTCTACCGCAGACCCTAAAATCGACATAAAACAGTTCATTTGTTAACTTAACAGCTTGAACACTTACTCGCACTCATAGCTCTTTTCATTGAGATGCTTCCGCATGTGGGACTTGAGCTGGGAAGTATTAGGATGCGTCTTGCTGCAGATTTCGCACTTGTGCTGGTCCTCAGAGGCGGTATCTGACTTTTGCCCGAAACTCTCTTCTTCGCTAGCCTCCTGCGAGCACGCTCCGTTGTGTATGGCTATGGAACTGCCCTGGGAGGAGGTGGCTTCAAAGTCATTATCATAGATCCGCTCTTCCGTATTCATAATGATGTATTCCTCATCAAAAACTAGTCTATTCTCCTCTTCTGTCGAGAGAGACTTATCTATGGGCAAAAGTTCATCCGCTTCCGATTTCTCCACAAAGTCCACTCTGTTTTCCTCCTTTTTAAGGGTTTCGTTGGGAGTATCATAGTCCTGAAAGGAAATGCATGTCTGTGCACTGACCTCTTGCTTTCTGGCCCGCTTTCTTTGGATCGGAGGGGATGTATCAGTGACGCTCGTTGTCTTGAGACTCGCAGCCGAGGACATGGTTTTGCTCACGAGATTCCTTAGGTGCTCATCGGAACGCTTGCACATCTTAAAGAAGCGGTGGGCCTGTTCCAGTTTATCAACACAATCCGCGCATATCTGATCGGGCAAACCATCGTTCTGTTCTACCTAAATTGTAACTATTAATGTGTAAACTACTTTTAAATTTGTATTTGTTTACACTCACAACCAGGCCGGCATGCTGATTCAAATGCTTGACGGCTTCGGATTCAAACAGCGGCCGCAGTGTGGAGCACCTCTCAGTCGTGCAGGTGCGGCACATGCTCCACTTAATGCTGATCTCCATGAGGTTATTATAAATTGCCTTTTTTTCTTAAGATTCCCAAATTCAGATTCAAAATAAAGTTTCGTATTTAGAGATGGTAGGGCTGTCATGTATGGTACATGGTAACAGCCTATCGATAGTTTTAACTAATAGTCGTTATCGGCTGTGAGCATATAGGGGATTTCTGAAAAAAAAGAACTATTTAAACGGACAGAGAATCCAATTGAAAAGGTTTTTATTTTTCAACTTTTGCATAAATTTCAATATATTTTATGTACAATAATTAAGTCAGTAATCGTTAATTTTGCATTTTGTCGGCATTATACACATTCATCGGAATCTTCGCAGGGAAAGAGATTAGTATTTTGGTATCATTAAACTAAATACAAAGAATTTCCCGACAAATTTTTGAAACCTCAACCCAATCATTTTTATATAATAAGTATTAATTATCTAATCACATACCTTCGTTTTTTTGACAGTGCCTCATCGATACCAATCGATTACCACCATCGATAGTCTTGCAGTTTGTATCAATTTGACAACCCTGGGTGAGGCAGTGCTGCAGACGCTTTGTTTATTTTCTCGAATTTTTCCGACTGACTGCAAAACGGAGCCACCATGCCCGAGTTTATGCTGTGCAGAATCTGCTTGACAGACCACATTAACGCGGACACTATGTCGCCTCTATTTGACGACGAGGACGAAGAGTGTCGCGAGCTGGTCCGCAAGCTGGAGGAAGTGGTCAGCATTAAGGTAACTTGATTACCAGGCACCTGTGCAACGAATACCATTCATTCCTCTCTGGGTTTGCAGCTCGTGCCGTTGCAGGACATTCCCAGCATGTTGTGCCTGAACTGCTTGGAAAAGCTGACAAACGCGCATGAGTTCCGGAGGCTGTGCCAGGTGGCGCTCACCACCAATGTGGTCAAGGTAAGTGGGCCGCCGTGAACGCTAGACCCCCTTGAACCAGGGAATACCGATTTCTCATGCCAGGCCGAGCTAAAGGTCGAGCCTACAGATGAGGTGCCGCACATAGTAGCGGAGTACATATACGAGGCCACCAGCGATTTCATCAATACCGAGGAGGAGGGCATGGAGCTGGAGGCCATGCTGGAGGAGCGCCTGGAGGACGGCATTGCGGAATCGGAGCATCCGTACGAAATGGATGCCGCGGCGGATGAACTGGACGAAAACGAGTTGCTGGAGCGGCAAGGCAGCGACAGTGACTACAATCCCGGGGAGCACTGTCACAAGACTAAGGTGCGTAAGACCCGACACAGCAAGCGGGGTCGTGGACGACCACGCAACTCTGCTGGTGGCCTAACGCAAGGAAATACCCAGGACATGGCGTCTGTGCCCTTAAGCTGCAAGTCCTCACCCGAGGAGTCCACCACGAACATCATGTGCGAGATTTGCGGCAATATCTACTCGAAGCGGGCGGCGCTGAACATACACATGCGTCGCCACCTGGCCGAAAAGCCGTTCGAATGCGAGTGGGTATCACTATAGAGCTATGTGGTTAAGGAATTATATTTATGGTTATACATCTTCCAGAATCTGCAGCAAAACGTTTGCTGGTCCTTCTGAGCTGAATCGCCACATTCGTGTGCACACGGGCGAAAAGCCATTCATGTGTAAATACTGCAACCGCTCCTTTGCAGACCGCAGCTCTAACATACGTCATGAGAGGTGATGCCAAAGACACTCCCCTTACAGGAAGCTTTACTAAATTTATGAATTCCCTTGTTGGCCTTGCAGGACCCACACGAACGAGCGACCTTTCACCTGCCCCACCTGCGGCAAAGCCTTTTCCTATTCGAATGTGCTTAAGAACCACATGCTCACCCACACGGGGGAGAAACCCTTCCTGTAAGATTACTTTTCGACCTGATGGGAATATTTATTTACAATTTACAATTTTAGATGTCGACCGTGCAATAAGAACTTCTCTCGTAAGCATCAGCTAGAGCAGCATATCGGGACAATGACCCACCAACTGACTATGCGAAAACACCAGAATAACGACGCTATGCTATGTACTAGTCCCTAACGAATGCAATTAACGTAAACCTTATTATTATTAGTAATTGTAAATAAAAAGAGTACAAATGGTCCGTTTACAAAGAATTGTTCTGGTCATGAAGTTAAGGGGAGAGATCAGAGAACCAATCTTGAGCTTCAAGTTATCTTAGAGAAATTAATAATTTAACATTTTAAACATCAAAAATAACAATAGATTGTCAATATTTTACACAACTCGCCTTCTCCAGGTGAGGGATGGTGGTCAAATGGTTACTCAGATGTGCTTTCCTATGAAAGCTCTTATCACAGATTTCGCAACTGAAAAGGATCACATTTTAAACTGGTAAAACGTTAAAAAATACGAGTAAGCTTACCTAAACAGCCTCTCCGAGGAGTGCATCACCTTGTGCTTGCTAAGGCAGCCGGAACTGATGAAGCTCTTATCGCAAACGTCACAATGGAAATTACGTTCGTCCCTGTGGCGTCGATGGTGCTGCAGTCGTGCACTTTCATCCGAGAACCGTATAGGACAGTAGCTGCAGGCGAAGGGCTTTTCGCCCGTGTGTGTGCGATTGTGACGGATCAGTTCCTTGCGGGTGACAAAGCTCTTGCCACAGCTGTCATGAAGAAAAATAGGTATTAAAACCATCTTCCATGTAAGGGGTTCACTCTCAAGCTTTACCCGAACTGACAATGGAAATCCTTGATGCCCGAGTGCCTGAGCTTGTGCTCTAAAAGGTTGGACCTGCTGATGCTTTTCCCGCAATCTCCGCAGACACACCGATCACCTCGGCCAATTGGCTTTGGTTTTGGTTTCTTGGGGGCCTCTTTTTCACCTTCTCCTGGAAACAGAATGGGTTCGCTGGTCTCCAGGAGCAAAGTTGCCTCATCTTTCTTCGTGAAATACAACTCAATATCGGTGTCATCTCTATCCTCGTTCTGATCTTCTTTTGTTGAGTTATCTTTGGGGCTGCGTCGATCCCCTCAAGATTCTGCTTCTCGGAAATAATGCAGCGTTGGCGGAATTTAATAGCTGCATTCAGATCGTTTAGGCAAACCAGACATAGGTGTCTAGAGAGTTCTGCTCTATCACTTAGCTGCAAATTAGAATGTAAAAATAAGTTAATTGTTTAATTTTTACTGCCACCTACCTCTACTCCCGTAACAGATTGAATTTGGCGAACCAGGTGATTATTTTCTGGCTCAAAAAGGTTGAGTGTAGCCTCCTGTTCAGAGCAAACGCGACAATTTTTATTCCGCATCTTGAGCTTTTCTATTTTTAAGTTAATTGTTTATTGTTTACGTTACATGTCAGTATGAAAGTGTGCGTGACATGGAGGTGGGAATAATCGGGATTTGTAGTGTATCGATCCCCCTTACTACACCCCTGCCCCTGGCTGAGCGCAATTATCGATAACTTTGATAACAAGACAGCTGATTCCTTCGCGTTTTCCCAAAACAAATTTTTGTTTATGCTCGCACTAAACTTAATTTTATATCATAGCCAAGCTTAGAAATGACATTTCAGTGCCGGACTTGCGCCGGCGTCATCTACCACACAAGGCCAAAGAATCTCTTCAGCATTGAGAACGCCACAATGCTGCTAAACCTTGTACAGGTGACCGGCGCCGTGGTAAGTTTGTACCAAATAGTGTTTTCCCTTCAATTAAAGGATTTTTTTACCTGTACTTGTAGATCAATAATGATCCGGCGCTGCCCAGTTTTATTTGTGGCTGCTGTCTGCACGACTTGAAGCTGGCCATAGTGTTTCGGGAACGGTGCATTCAAACGCAGAAGGATCTGCTGCAGCGAGGCAAGATTCCCAAAAGGGAAGTCTTTGAACAGGAGACAGGCGATCAGGAGGAGGAGGTAGAGGAATGTGATCTCCAGCAGGAGGAGGACAACTATGCCGCGGTACCCCCCGATTCCCTTGAGGAGGAGGATAATTTCTTTGATGAGTTCGACGCTTGTCTCGACGTCGGGGAAGAGCCAGCCGTAGCGGAAGAGGAGGCCGACACTTTGGAGGCAACTGTAACCGAAGAGTTCGAAACCATTTACGAAACCAGCACCGAACCAGAAGAGTTTTTCAACCGCATTTCGAATTCTGAGGATGAAGTCGAAGAGGACTGCTACACAGACGGCTCCTTTCCAAATTCTTCCAGACAGCTTCAGCCGGACCCGGAGCCGGATACCTCAGAAAATGAGGGTGAACTCGAGCGAGACAGTTTTTCTGATAACTCCTGTGCAGCCTCTCCCGTACAGCCCGCGTCAGTGAAGCAACGCGGCCGCCCACGTGGCAGCACATCGAAGTCTGGAAGCGTTGACTTGGATCCCAAGACGACAACCGCGAAGCCGAGAAAAAAGAAACCGTATGTGACGTGGAAGAACATGACCGAGGAACAGATCGTGGCGCGGAAGCGGCAGCAGCGCATGCGCGACTGTGTTTGCGAGCAGTGCGGCCGACACTTCACCGACCAGAGCAACTTCAAGTTGCATATGCTCCGGCACACGGGCATAAGGAACTTTGCCTGCGAGGAGTGCGGAAGACGCTTCTACACCGACCACCTCCTGTCGTTGCACCAGAGAATCGTACACAATGGCGAGCGACCCTACGCCTGCCGATACTGCACTAAGACCTTTCACAACAGCACCACCCGTGTGATCCACGAGAGGCAAGCTAACCGACGAATCTATACCGAGTTCACTCATTTCTAGCTGTGTCAATCCTTTCCAGAATTCACACAAATGCCCGACCATATAGCTGCACCCACTGCAATAAGACGTTTAGCTCGGCTTCAGGACGCAAGCGGCATGAGCTGATACACACCGGTGTAAGGGCCTATTCGTGAGTAACATCTGTGATCTTTCTGAGGACAAATAATTAAGTAATTTTTTATTTTTTAGCTGCTCAATTTGCGAACAATCCTTCCAGCGCAACACTCATCTAAAGGCTCATTTGCGATCAAAAATGCATGCACTTCGGGCAGAGTCCAATAATAAAGATGAACTCGAATCGGACTGAATAAAACTTTAAATGTAAGATTTAAATTATAAAATTATGAGGGAATTTAGTTTGTTATAACGTAAGTTGGTATTAACTGATATAGTTAACTAATAAGCTACTTGTGTGCTATTATAATTTAATTTAATTCAAAACTATTATTATAAAAAATAATATGCTTTAAATTACAATTCAAATTTAATTTGTTATTTATATTTCGCTATGATTCGATATATTTATCGGGTTGGTATATTTTGGTATTTTAAAGGCCGCGGTATTTTTATTGCCTCTCGCTGAGGTATATTTTGGCGCTTCACCCACAGTCACACTACACACATTTTGCCAAGTGTTGAAATTGTTTTATTTTGCGAAATTCCTAATAAAACCTGGGGTTAAAAGCTTAGTGGCGTGCAAATAAGCGAGGATAATTTCGCCCGAGCTCTGAGTGTCTCGTTTGCCGTCATTGCCTAACGCTAATAACCTGTTTTTGACCTTGGACAGCATGGAGCGTCGTCGCTTGCACATGAACAGCCCCATGGCCGACTCCACGCGGATTGACGCTTCTTCCATGTGAGTGTGGTGTGCCTGCCTTATCCGCATAGCAGGCTTAATAAAAGTGTTCTTCGTTGTTTTATGATTCCAGCGGCAAACGCCCCGTGCCCAGCAGCTTTCTGGCGACACTAAGTCCCTAAGGCGGAACAGCGTGATCAGCAGCAACGGCAGCCGGACCCCGGAGGAATCGCTGGCCAGCCAGACGATGGCCACGACTACAGCAGGCAGCAGCAACAGTATATCTAGACAAAAACTGAATCTTAGTCAGTTGGATCCAAGGTAAGAGAGCGAGTTGTCCATAAGGATGCATGTTAAGCCTGATAATTATCCTCCTATTTGTTTTTGTTAGGACCTTTGCCGATGTGCACAGCAGTGGCCTGACCTCACGCATTGCTGCCTACCACGAGAATAGCCTTGGAGGACGCGGCAGTGGCAGTGGTGCTGGTGGTTTGCAGCGCAGTATGTCCGTCAGTAACCTCTACAGTCCACTGTCGCATTCACGACGGCCCGCAGCCCCACCACTGCCGTACAAGGCGAGTGTTCCAGTGCTCTCGCTGACCAAGATTGCACCGCCTGAACGAAGCTTTTATTCCGGCAACACACTGTCTAGCCTGATGCGGTCCAACTCACTGGTCGGTGTGGGGCTCAAAACCAGCGATCAGGAGCAGTTGTCGCGGGAGAATCGACCCATTCTGCATCCACCACATCCGCAGCACGAGTGCGAACCCACCAGAAGTGTTCTGGAGGAGCTCAAGGAAATCTCGCGGAAACGCATTAACAGTGGTGTAAGTTTGCATCGTGTGGGGTGCAACAGGAGAGATACGAGCTCAGGTTTCGGTTACTTTCAGGATACACAGTCGGCGCATGACTTTACGAAAAGAAGCTGCCAGCGAGAGGACTTTGTAGACCTTCATCAGCAGCACCATCAGCATCACCATCACCAACACCAACAGCATCACGAACTGCATCGGCTGCAGCAGCAACAGCACCATCAGTCTTTCAAAAGACAGCGGGAACTGACCGTCGCCGTTCCCCTCAGGCACAACCTGACCTCACTGCCCGTTCCACCGCCGGCATTGCAGCATATGTACTCCAATGGAGCGATTTCGCCCCGCCAGTCGCCGGAGCAGGTGGCCAAGCGTCGTAACTGCAGTTACAGCAACGATATTGCCTCTTCGCTGAGCTCCAGTCTACGGCACACCAACAAGCGGAAACTGTTTGACATGCGGGACAGCTTGCAGCAAAGCCATAACGAGTCCGCCGCCAGTACCAGTTCGCCCGAAAATTCGCCCAAGTCAAAGGTTCAGCGTAAGGTAGATGCTGAGTCCATCGGCAGGACCCAGAGTATGCCCATTCCCGCTGTTCCGCCTGTACCACCAGCACGGACGATCTCAGCACCTCCCGCCAAGAGCCACAGTAGTGAACATCGCCCTACGGAGGCTATTGTTCCGCCTGCCGCACAGAAGCCGAAGCTTACCCTATTCAATGCGCGGCAGCCGACGCAAACGACAGGTGATCGGACGCGTCAGGATCTCAACAGCCCCGATGTGGATGCCGGGGAGTATGCCGGCATACAGTTTGTGAAGCCCAAGCAGCAGAACTCTATGCAGGGTGTAAGAAATCCCAGCGTGGAGCGTACTCAAAAGACCAAGCTGGCCATCATGCTGAGCGGATTGAAGGGCGAACTGTACCAAGGTGAGCCAGATGAGCCTGACACCACACTGGTGCCACCGCCTGCAGGTCTGCCAACGCCAATTAAACCCATCAGTTCGTCTGTTGTTACATCTAAGACCACAACAACAACGACAACTACCTCCACGACCACCACAACGACCTCTACGACCCCTGCCCAGACCATAGTGTCCCCCAACAAGCCAGTTATATTGAGCAACCAAGTCATTGTGCCAGCGGCTTCGACAACGGCAACAACCACGTCTACAACAGTGCCAAAGCTAGCCTTTGGCGCTCTGGGAGGCACAGCAGCTGCACCAGCACCGGCTCCAGTAACAGCTTCAGCTCCAGCTTCAGCTTCTGCAGCAGCTGTTGCTCCCTCTCCCAGATCTGACCCTGCAGCAGCACCAGCTCCCTCTCCAGTCACCACAGACAAAGCCCCAGAAGCCGGTTTAGGAAATCAGGCCAAGTTTAGCCTGCCTGCCACTTCAATAGCTTCCGGCGTAACGTCAGCTCAGCCCTTGTTACTTTTGGCAGTCCAAAACCCTCCACAGCACCAACACTGTCCTTTGGATCTACCACCACAACCACCAGCGCCAGCAGCTCCAGCACAGCAGCCTTATTTTCCGTATTTGGACACTCACCAGCTACTACTAATGGACCCACCGTAGGCGCTGCCACTAGCTTCAAAACCGAAACAACAAAGGAAACCACGTCTACAACTACAGCCAACAGCTTGGGAACACCGAACACAACTTCACTGACCTTTGGAACATCCACCGCTACGGCAACTGTCCTGCCACGCATTGCACCAACACTTAACTTCGGCCAGCCTATTGCAGCCACCACCACAGTGAGCACATCTCCATTTGGCACAGCACCGACAGCCAGCAGCAGCATGATAAGTCCACCGAAAGCCGCGCCAATGTTCGCCTTTGGACAATCAAACTCAACTGCAAATGGAAGCGCAACTCCAGCAAAGCCACCGGCAGTATTTAGTTTTGGAAGCAGCAGCACACAAGCCACCAATGGAGCGACAGAAAGCAAACCCACCTTTGGGGGGGTTTTCAATTCGAAACCGGAACCCGCGAAACCAGCAGGTATCTTTGGCAGTCAGGATGCCACCTTTGGCAGTCCCTTCAAGCCACCAGCAGCTTCAGTGGCGTCGGGAGCTGCCACGTCCACAGAGCCGGCCAATGCATTCGCCTTCAAGACTCCAACAACCAGCGCGACTACAACAGCCACAAATCTCTTTACCTTCGGTGGAGCAACAAGTACGGCCGCTAAGCCAGCGGAACCAGCCACTAGCCTGGCCTTTGGCCAAAGTGCAGGCACAGCTGCAGCCACGCCATTTAGTTTTGGAGGAGCAGCCACTGCTGCCAAGGAAACGAGCAGCAACACTGATGCTAACAAATCCGTATTTGCATTTGGAGGATCAGCAGGAGGAGGAGACAAGAGCTCGAGTAACAAGCCCAGTGCTGTGCTCAACTTTGGTGGAGGTGATAAGGCTGCTCCTTCGCCGGCTTTTGGCAGCGTAGCCCCAACGGTAGCTGCGGTGACACCAACACCTGGACCTGCCTTTGCTTTCGGATCATCATCGAAACCGTCAACACCTATGTTTGGTAGTAATGGAGCCACTGCTTCGCCGGCAGCCACAAAACCATTTGCATTTGGTGCAGTGCAGTCGACGCCGACAGCAGCACCTGCACCGACAGGAGGATTCTCCTTAGCTGCAGTCGCGGCTAAGAAGACCGAGGAGCCTAGTGGAGCCAACTTGTTTGGCAGTCCCGCGGCCAAGCCAAGCTTTAACTTTGGCGGAAACACCAGCAACCAAGCAGCAGGACCAGCAGTTGCATCACCAGCCGCACCAACTGGAGGCTTCTCTTTCGGCAAAAAGGAGCCGGATGCCACCAATGTCTTTGGAAGTGCAGCGAACGCCAATACAGGAGTCGTGAAACCCACATTTGGCTTTGGCGGTGGCAGCAATGCCACCACTCCTGCTCCTGCTACATCGTCTGGCTTCGGAGGATTTGGAGCCGGGCAGCAGCTCCAGCAGCAGCAGCATCACAACCAGCAGCGGGGGCATCCAATCAGAACAAACCCTTTGCATTTGGCGGCAGCACAGCAACCGGTGCTCCCACCGCTGCACCGAGTATAGGTGGCAATCTCTTCGCCAGTGCAGTGGCTGCCACCCAGAACCAAGCCAAGCCGGGAGGCTTTGCCTTCGGTGGGGCTAAGAACTCCACCAACTCCAATTCCACAGCCGGCAACGCTCCCTTCTCATTCGGCGGAGCTGCTGCTGGCGGCATTGCTTCGCCGCCCAGCAACCAGAGCATGAATACGGCCAAGCCGTTTAGCTTCGGTGGCGCTGGTGGCAATCCAGCACCCAGTGTCTTCGGCAGCCCAGCACCCCAGCACCCAGCGCCCCCAGCTAGCAATCCGGCCGGAGCCTATAACTTCGGTGGCGGCTCCTCACCAGCCCAACAGGCGAATGCTGGGAACATGTTTGCCCCACCACCAGAGAATCGGCCCTTCCGCAAGGCAACGCGGCGGCTGCAGAAATAAGTCGGATGTTTTAAGTCTGTGTAGATCGTTATTGTTTCGTTTAGGTACAATTTCTATTAATTTCTTAATCATTATATTGTGGTAATTTCAAAAATAAAGTTTGTATGAAAGTGTACACCTTTTTGTGTCTGGTAATCTTGTGAATTAAAAACGTATTTTAATAAGGAATCAATTGAAATAAAGGATTATTTATGCCCATCAAGCTGCAAGAATTGCTTATCAACATGTTACCAAGGACTATAATCTTAAAGATCCATCCAGTTCTAATAAAAATGCCAGGTCAGGTTCATGCTTGTATTCTTTACTTTTATTAAAAGTTTTAGAACTCTCTCTGCCATCGTTTAATCACCTCAATTAAGTTTCGTGTGGTTGTGGTGCAAATTGTGTGTTTTATCTCACGCATAGAACTTTCTTTCTTTTACAAAATGGATAGATGTGTTTGTGGTGTTTGTTTTAAAAAAATAATAACTTTAAAATTAATTAATTGTATGTGTGTCATGTGGACGTGTGTTTTGTGAGGAGGTGTGGGTGTGTGTGTTTTACATAAAGTAGCCTACAAATTAAATGTTAAAGCAAAGTGGCTGCCGCTGGTTTGGAAATTAAAACGCATAAATGTACAAGGTTTCGCTTAACATAATACATGGGTATTATTAAGTAAATTAAAGGGGTAACTCTTTATAAAATAAATTACAGTTTTACTTTGCCTTTATCGGTTCGATTAGAGTACAGAGAGAAGGAGATTCCTTGTTTAGAAGAACGGACCGAATAATGAACGAATATTCACGAACTTGGCGTATATAATAATTTATGTATTTATATTATTTATTAATCGATTCATATGCTAAATACGTAGTTTATGTGTGTATTGTTGTATTATATGTAGAAGTTGTAATGTAATGCATATTTTCACAAGTGTTTTTTATCCTTTTACTTTTTTACTTTTCTTGTTATTTTTTGAGTTTAAGGACACGCGACTGAAGTCGCCTTCGTTCTTCTTTTTTTTAAGTATAATTTTTATGCTGTCTTCTTTTTGATTTCCAATACAAATAAATGTAACTAAATTTAACTAATTCTCAGCTTGATCTCTTCCCCAACGACTTGTTGGACAAGTGCTATGTGGTCATCCCATCCCCCTGGTTTTTGTGCTACAAACAGAAGCGGAAACTCGAATAAAAGTTGTCGTCTTCAATGGGGAAACACATTCTATAAACAATTGCTTGCCCCCAAAAGGGAGGTGGAGGCGCGCTCATATGTATGCGTATTCTATAACATAAAGATACAGGGTACAGAAATAAATCTTACAATGGAGTTCGATCCAAAAACGGGGATAATAAATAGCTACAGTTACACAGTGTACACAGATAACGTAATATTGTGGTAGTTGGTAGTTGAAGGTAGTAGGTAGTAGGTAGGCTACACAGAAGCTCTTCTTGCCCCACCTTCTTGTCCTTTCCCGTAGTTCGTATTTAATTATATGTCGGAAGCTGGCGCAACTCACTAACATTGCTTGATTGTGTTGGGTTCCATATCCTCGCTTAGGCTTACAAAACTTACTTCATAAATTATATATGTAAATAAATTGTTGTAAATTAGTTATATATTCAAGTATGTATATAATCGTACGAAAAATTGTTGCGTTCAGTGTTCGGTGTTGGTTTCAGCTTTCGCTTCTTCAGATCTGGCTCTAGCTCTGGCTCTGGCTCCGCTGGCAACTGGTCTGAACAATCCGCTGTAGTTTCTCCTGCATCAATCCCTCGAGGTCTCCTCACGCTGTGGCATTGTTCAGCAGCTGCAGCTTTACCTTGAGCTCAGCGAATGTGGGTCGCTTGGCGGGATTGAGGTCCCAGGCTTGGCGCATCATCTCGTAGATCTCCGGTGGACAGCCCTCCGGCGCCTCCATTTTGTAGCCCACCTCAACGTGCTTCACCACATCGGCTAATGGCTGCAAGGAAGTGAGTTTATATCGATTAATTTCTGATTTAATTTAAGGATAGTAACACTTACAATTCGAGGGTAAGGCACGCGTCCAAAGGAATAGATTTCCCACAGCAGTATGCCAAAGCTCCACATGTCCGATTTATTGGAGAAACGCTAAGTAAAAAGTATAGATATTTAATGCCATCCTTTGTCTACAGCAACAGGTCCACAACTTACCCCATTTTTCAGAGCCTCGGGAGCCGTCCATTTGATGGGCAGCTTGCCAACGTCAAGATTGTAGCATTCCTCGCGAGCCAAACCGAAATCCGATACCTTGGCCACACAATCTTCCGATATAAGGACATTGCGGGCTGCCAGATCGCGATGCACAACCTTTTTGGCTTCCAGATACTCCATACCAGAGGCAGTGTCGCTGTTTAAACAAAAAATTTGATTACAATTTGATAATGTTTTGTAAGATTTATCATAAAAAACTTACTAGGCAAAAATGATTTGATCCTTTTTGGTTATGTGCTGTCGTCCGCGCGATCGCAGGTAATCAACCAGTGACCCCTTGCTCATGTACTCTGTGACCAGATACAGGTGCTTGCTGGTGAAGACCAGGCCAATGAACTTGACCAGGTTGTCGTGCTCCAGTGTTCTGGAAGGGAACAAAATAAATTAAAATGTGGAAATTGAGGTTTAAAAGCTTAATAGAACGTACGTCATGACCGAGGCTTCGGCCAGAAACTTTTGCACGGCGCCCTCATCCTTGAGCATCTTGACGGCCACCTTCTCGTTACGTAATATGCCCAGCATCACGTCCCCGAACTCGCCCTTGCCAATGCTCTCGCGCAGCTGTAGCTCCGCCTCCGGTATAACCCAGCCCTTGTCCACGAAATCTTTGGAGTTGATGCAGAACTCTTGTTTACCCAGCTTGGGCAAGCACTTGATCAGCTGGGTGCACAGCCCATCTGCATCTGCCTCGTAGTGCTGTTGGAAATAGAAAAAAACCATTGCTTTATCTGACTACATCTAGACTTTCTCGTTAGGACTTACCGCCACCAATTGTCCCAGATTCTCAAAGTACTCCTCGTCGTCAATGGTCAGCTTATTCTCCAGATACTTGACCCGATAGTGCTCCACCTTGGTTTGAAAGCAAACGCAGAGCGTATAATCACCAGGGAAGTTTGTGGACTCGCGCACCAGGAACAATCCATCCTCCCGGGGCTGCAGGAGATGCTCTGCCTCGTCCCGCGTTATGCTGCCATGGAACCAGCTGGGGAGAAGAGAAATTTATTATGAAACTATCTAAAATATTTAGCCTTCTGTTGACACTTACGGCATTGCGTTAAGCTTGACCTCGCACCGCGAACGACCTTGCTGGGGGCCATCGAAGTGGGCGATAGGGAGGCATGATTCATGGCTGTGGTAGAGCCGCTGGACCACGCGCTATTGGCATTCACACCACCCGCTCCGCCACCACCAGCTCCATTGATATCGAAGCTGTGCAGCGAGGTGGACATGCCCGCTGATCCGCTGACCCCACCGACCGCCGCTGGCTGGGTTGCCTGTTGGCTGGGCTGGGTTGCCGTGTGAAGCAGCATATTGCTACCGTGCTGGCTGCCACTCAAGGCCAGGCTCTTTGGCGGCAGCGCTCGCTCGGCGCTATGGAGCGCCATTTGCGCCGCATTTAGAGAGGAGGACATCAGGCCCGATCCGCTAGATCCACCGCAATTGGCCAGCAACTGGAGATGCTGCTGCTGTTGCTGCTGGGCAACGGCGGCCACAGCGGCCGCGGTACCCGCCACCGGCTGTGATCCCGCCGAACCGGAGGGGACCGTGGGTGCGGGTGCAAACGTGGACAGTATGCTGTGGGACACCTGCTGTTGCTGCTGTTGTTGTTGTTGGGCTGTCGTTTGCTGCTGCTGCTGCGTCTGGCTGGGAGACTTGGGTGAATGATTGCTGGCGCTGCTGATTAAATTATGACTATTAAGCGCATGCGATGACAAATGCAAGGCGCCCGCCGCTCCCGCCTGGCTGGGATGCTGAAAGGAGAGCAATGTCAACGTCGAGGGTTAGGTCAATTTAATAAATACATATTGTATTGTAGGAGAGGGAGAGGAGCACCTACCACATTGTTCTCGCGATGATGGTGATGATGTGGCGGTATGCTGGGCGGTACAATGTGCGGTTGCGACTGGCTTAGCTGCTGTTGGTGCAGCAGCACCGCTCCCACCGCTGATCCTCCGCCGGCTGCCGAGACTCCACCGGCTCCCGAACCTAGAACAGCGTTCGGCTGTGGCGCCGGTCGCTTGTTGTGCCGCAGCGGTGCAGTGGGCGGCATTTGATGGCCGGTGGTCTGCAGGAACCATGGATCGCCGGCTGTGCTACCCGAAGCGGCCGCAGCGGCCACCGTCACCGAGGGTTGCGAGAATCCGCGATGGTGTCCAACGACCGTGGTTTGTCCGTTCTGGGTGGCCGTTGCGTGGCTGTTCATCGCCGAGCCGGTCGTTAGGGCTTCTTTCGGTGGCGATGCCTTCCTCAATGGTCCTTGCTTGATCTCAACGGTGATCAGATCGCCCTCGCCGGAAACCTTACGAGAGAGGGGTTCCCGTTTCTCCTTCTCCTCCACCAGCTGCTGCTTCTTCGTCAGGCTGGTCTCCTCTCTGGCTAGGGCTTCCTCGTCTGCAAGAATAGAATTTGGAGTGCGAGCATTAGCTTGTTTCCATTTGATGATGTTATTTGCTGATAAATTGAGGCCGAAGCAAAAGCATCTAATCTTATCACACCCACCACGCACACACACACTCATTTTGACAATGTTATCTTCATTAATTATATTATTTATGCCCAATGCAATCAGTTGTGCAAATATGTAATGAATTTTATGGCAATTCACGTAATATTCCAATAGATTGAATAGAATAATTGCATAACTTGCAGGTTATTAAGTCGGGTTCATATCTTTTTATACGGAACTATTATTATCATTAATTATCATAGTGAGTAAATATTAAATTTGCTTTAATAAAATAAGTAATAAGCTTAATGAGACTTTTAAGATAAGATTATAAACATATTCATATATTTTTGCTTGCCTCTTAATGATCCTGAATGTTGTTTTCCTTTAGATTTATAATTCGAAACTGAACAAACTCATGGATTGAGAGTTTATTCAAATCTAGGCAAGTGAGAG